ATTTGTGGAGTGAACCATGGGATGGAAGACCCTCTCACTCTCTGCCTCGCCTCTCTCTTTGTAACTCTGACTTTCAAATAAATAAATAAATCTTAAAAAAAAAAGAAAAAAGAAAAATGTAAAAATATACAAAATATCCTTTAAAAGTTCATGGAAAATACTTATAATTAAAAAGTCCATGGATTTCAAATTTTTGCACCAAAAGCAGCTTGTCTTTTAAGTCCATTTTCCAAGAACTTTTTGAAGTACCCATGAAGATGTATGATTTGTACTCACGTATTTTTATAAGCTAGTATACACTGCACAGCGCTCATTCAGTGACTGTATGTAGAATGCTAGCTAAGACTAAGAATTCTTTTCTCAAAATCTTCTGTGACTGAAGGTAATTCAGGAATAGACAAAAGAGAATAAAAACACAAATTGGTGGGTATTTATTTTTGTCTGTACTGACACAAAGGATCTTTAAAAGGTTGATGCAAAATGCGTGTTTTCTTTTAATTCCATTTTCTTATGAACTTTTTGAAGGCCTCTCATACTGCTTTGACCCAAACCTGCTGTTCACTAATCATTGCATTTTAGCTGTCATAAAGCCAGGGTCATGGATTGGTAAGAACATCGGTAGGACATAAACTCTATTTCCAGACTATTACTAATGAGTTGAATAGCCTTGGGCAAGTCATAACCATTCTCCTAGCTTCTATTTTTCTTCATCTGTTAGATGATAAGATTGTATAAGATAACCCCTTAGGTCCAGTATGAAGTTATGTGTCCATGAAAATTTGGGTAAAAAAAAAAGATTTTTAAAGTGTTCTTTTAGATTGCATTTATCACATAAGAAACTTCCAGAAACTTAAAAGTTCTCATTTGTTTGTAATGCCAGTTGACTTATTGAAAATTATCATCCATTTAAATAATTTGATATGTAAATAAATTTGGAAGCAAAAATATAAATATATGTACTGTTTTAAAGTTCACTGTAGGCAGAACTTAAGTTCTACTGTCATAAATATAGTCAAGACTAATATTGCACTTCCAAGGAATGAATTACTTTAAAAATAGCACTGCCTTGTGCTGTGTTCTTTGCAAGAATCCAAATTAAAGAAAAGCGCCACCCAATGCTGTACTGTCTCTGTGAATACAAATTACAGAGCTGGCCTGATCTGAATTTGGATTCGGAAGATAACTCACTGGGCAATCTTTTAGGCACTAAGCTCTGCATGTTTATTGTACACCGTTTTGAGAAGCTGCAGCGCACTCCACACACAGGGGATTTGGAAATGAATTTGAATTAGAATGCACTGGTGTACTGCGACCTAAAGAACAGACGATCTCTGTACGGCACTCTGGAACAGCGCAGTAAGCTGCTTGTGATTATGTAGTCTGATAAGAGCATAGAGCCAAAGAACAGTGAGGAAATTCTAACGTGTTCAAGGGGTGGTCTCGTGCTGTGTCCAACTCCTTGGTAAGCTCTGGGTTATCGTAGAGACGCCCAAATTGTGCAACACGTGTTTCTCACGGAATTTGAGTAGATCTCGGCACATAGGACCGAGGCATCATGTCATAAAAAAGTCATTCCTTTCTCAATTCTCTTTCAATTTTGATTCTTCCCACTAGGAATATGTGTGTGTGTGTGTGTGTGTGTGTGTATGTCAGCTTGAAGCTAATGTGCTTCTCACATCTCCCTTAAGTACAAATCTCTTTGGCGACAAAGAGTCAACCAGCAGTGTCAAAGCTTTCTGCAAACAAAGAGTATGTAACTACAAATTAATAGCTTCAATTTGTTTGCTGTTCTTACAGTAAACTTTCATTAAGGGCAAATGAGACTGGCTTTTTAGTAATAGTAGCCATATAGTTTATTAAGTTTATTTAGCCCCCACCAAAGTATGTTGGTTTAGAGAAAACTTTTACATAAATAATAGCACATGGCTAGTAAACATCTTCTAATATTTGACAAACAAATGATTCAAGCTGGGGAGACTGGGCTGGTGGAAACATACTGAGCTGAAAGGTAGCAAAGTGGGGCACTCAATCTAACTTTGTCTCCGGTAATGGGATTGCCCTTTCAGCATGCTGGTGCTTTCTTGCTTCCTTTTCCTCATTATCCAATAGCTATAATGATATTCACCAAACTGTCCTTGGACTGATGATGTGAAGATTAAAAGTAAACGGTGATATTAAAATTCCATAAACATTCAAAGCTATATATACATGGAATTTATTGCTGTATACAAAATTCTTGACTTTTTCTCTAACCACTTTAGGGTGAGGACTGGGGAACAAGAACACAACTATTTAGAGAAGAATAATATTATCAGTTTTCCTATTAGGGTCCTACCACTTACTGGTGGTGGTAGTGGTGGTGAGTGTGTGTGTGTGTGTGTGTGTGTGTGAGGGAGAGAGAGAGAGAGAGAGAGAGAAGCTGACTTCATTTGTACAGTTACTATATATACACTATTCTTAAATATTAAAATTGTAGTTGTCTTTTTCAGACTAATTGTATGTTTAGCTTTGCTATTTTCTACAGTAGCAAAATGCTTGAAAAGTAAATTATGGTTATTAAATGAACCTAATAATAGATCTTATTCATCTCAAGGCTTAATAAAAATATTATGACCTATCTGTGTATTTAGAGCTATTAAAAATAAAGAAATTTAATTTCATACCAGATTATTTTTTGACTTGAAATAATATTTGGAATTTTGTTTATCATACATTTCTTTGAGTTTAAAACTGCAAATTTTCTCATAATGTCTCATCTCATCTTAATTATTTTATTGCTACATGATTAATTTCCTATAGACTGCAAAATTTTACTTTCTAATGTAATCTCTTACATATCCTGCAAGTTAAGGTTGTTATTCTGGTTAAAATAGAACAGTCCAATTAAATTTCTGATATATTTGTATACTTGTGATTAATCATATCAGGTTCATGGCTCTGTTTTTGAGACATATATTGGTATTTCAAAAAGTTTGTGGAAAATGAGAGCAGATTCCCATGTATAGGATTGTCTTCAAAAACTTTGTGGAAAATATACATTATGAAAGAACTATTCATGGGTTTCAAAGACCATTCGCATCAGAGCAATACCTTTCAATTTTGTTTTGCACAAAAATTTTGGAGTGCCTCATACTGTACTAAGTTCCAACTTACTAATTTGTTCTATGAAACAGAGAATATTCATACACAAAAAATGCAAACAGTCATGGCTGGGTTTCCATCCTATTAAGCAAAGCATATTTAAGCATTATTGCTGCTGAATTAGAAAATGATAGACATCATAATCTTATTCATATAAAAATATTCAGGTTGTCTACGATAATGATTCTCAAACTTGAGCGGCTGTAAGAATAACCTAGGCCGGCACCGTGGCTCACTAGGCTAATCCTCCGCCTTGCAGCACCGGCACACCGGGTACGAGTCCGGGTCGGGGCGCCGCATTCTGTAGCGGTTGCCCCTCTTCCAGGCCAGCTCTCTGCTGTGGCCAGGGAGTGCAGTGGAGGATGGCCCAAGTGCTTGGGCCCTGCACCCCATGGGAGACCAGGAGAAGCACCTGGCTCCTGCCATCGGATCAGCGCGATGTGCCAGCCGCAGCGCGCCAGCCGTGGCGGCCATTGGAGGGTGAACCAACGGCAAAGGAAGACCTTTCTCTCTGTCTCTCTCTCTCACTGTCCACTCTGCCTGTCAAAAAAAAAAAAAGAATCACCTAGAAGACTCGTCAAAGCACTGGTTGCTTCCTCTGCTCTCAGTTTCTGGATCACTGGTTCTAGTGTGGAACTGAGAATTTGTGCTTCTAAAAAACTTACCAGGTGATGCTGGGGCTCTTGCTGCAGTTCTAGAACTACCCTGTGAAAACCGCTGGACTAGTGGAAAGCAGTAAAGAGTGGTGTAGCGCATGGGCCTTGGTGACAGGCCCAGTTTTCAGATGTAGCTTTGACACTTACTGACTATGTAGCTTCATCAGCAAAATCATTATATTGACTGGGACTATTGAATGAAAATTTAGCACCAATTACAGGAGGTATGCTGGTTGGAGCGATAATAGTGGAAGTTATAGTTACTGGTGGTAGAATATGATAGAGTAGTCCCTCACCCTTTATTCAGGGTTTCCTTCAGTCAGCCAGGGTCAAAAGTTTTAAATAGAACATTCCAGAAATAAATAATTCATGAATTTTAAGTTGTACACTAATCTGTATAGTATATAAAATTTTTTGCTGTCCGTCTTGGGATGAAATTCATCCCTTTGTCATCATATCTATGCTGCATATTCCACTCATCCATTAGTCACTCAGTAGCTTGTCTGAGTTATATCAGGTAGACTATTGTGGTATTGTAGTGCCTGTGTACAAATAACCCTTATTTGACTTCAGAATGTCCCCAAAGCCCAAGAGTAATGATGCCAGCAATTCAGGTATGCTAAAGGAAGCTGTGAAATGCTTCTTTTAAGTGAAAAGGTGAAAGTTCTCTGACATATAAGGCAAGAAAAAAATCAAATGCTGAGGCTGCTAGGATCTATCAAAAGTATAGATCTTTTTGTAAAAGTATGAAGAAGAAGGATTTTAGGCTGCATTTGCAGTCACACTCAAGCTGCAAGAGTTAAGGCCAGTGCATGATAAATACTTAGTAAAGATAGACATGGTGCTAGATTATAGAGTTTGGTACTATCCTTGGTTTCACACATCCACTGAGGGCCTTGGGATGAATCCCAGGGGGCGACGGCATTATCCACAGAACCTTGGTTCGATTGCAATGAAAAGTTTATGAGTCTTTCCTAAGGAAAGCTGGTCAGAGAGCTTGGCTTCCACGGATGACGTTGTTTCTCTGAGGAGCATTACGCCTACGACAGGCATCTTGTAGGAGGAAGCAGTACCCCTAGTGAAAGTACTTTCCAGAGTGTTGGCAACTGGAATGCAGATGTTAGTAGCAGTGGAAGTTGCTCCGTTCCTGCAGTATTTCTCCATATTTAGAACTTCGTGCATTTGTTTCTTCCCTTCTCTTAGCAACAAGAGCAAGATCCAACAAACCTATACATCTCAAATCTCCCCATTTCTATGGACGAGCAGGAACTGGAGAACATGCTGAAACCCTTTGGACACGTCATCTCTACAAGAATACTAAGGGATGCCAATGGAGTCAGCCGAGGTGTTGGTTTTGCCAGGTAAAACTTTTGCTCTCTATGTAACATATCTCTCCTTGTTGTTCTCTTTTAATTCTATGTGCCCCTATATCCTACATATGTATCTGTGTACCAGTGCATTCTGTGCCCATCTATCCACAAGATCAGATGTTGCCAATTCCTGCCAGGAATAATGAATGCCCAATATCTCAGTGCAGAAGAACCTCTATAGTGAGCAAAGCATCCAAATGTTTTTGCATTGATTTTCAAATTACAGAGATGATAAGATTTATCAGTAAAGAAGAGAGAGGAATGGTTTAGAGTGTTAGGAAATTCCAAGGACCCCAGAAATATAAGATGAGGTCAAGGAGCCATTTGAAATTTGAAAGACACTGGCTGTGTGTTTTTGATATTTTAGGCAAAACAGAAAAAGAATTAATTTATTTCTTCCATTGTCAGAAAAGGAAGAGTAGTTTTCACTTGAACTTTAATGGAATGTTTACAAAGGAGAGTCTCAGCCAGGAATGGAGCTGAAATGGTTATACCTGCTGTGCTTTCATGGCAAACAAAGCTACAGAAACCAGAAAGAAAAAGAAAACTGTTCAGTGACAAAGAGGAACAGTAAAATTCCCTTGTCCATGGCTTGGTGAGTGGAAGTGTCTCGAGCTGACTTGACAGGGATGGGTGAATGGCTTGTAGGTGTCATCTGGAAGTTGGCTGGGTTGCAGACAGGTATATTCACCCAGGTTGAACTCTGCTATGGCTTAGGAAACCATTTCAAACCAAGTTCTGCTAACTCAGTTTGGATGATACCCGATATAATTGTCAGTAGAAGTTGATTTCTAATTTGGATTATTTGAGGTCATGAACTAGATCTTAGCATTCTTTCCTATCCTCGTAATATTCTGCACATGGTGGATCAGTATAGACATATGAAAGGTATATACTTCAGTATTAGCAAAAAACAGAATGTATAAAATCTCCCTATATTCATGAAGCAGGTTGAAACTTTCAGAACAGTGACAAGTGTTGATTTTCATGGTCATGGCATAGTTGAAGAGACCACCTGTGTCTCTGAAATTTGCCCATGGTCATTCTTGGTTTGGTCTAGCCTGCTCTCAGAGGTCTGGGCATGTGGGAGAGTCTACTAGCATGGTCATGTTTCACCTTGCACAGCATGCACCTCCCTTTGATTCTCCCCAGTCTCTGTCCACCACACTGTCTCTGATGGATTTATGTCTGTACTCCTGATGAGAAATGCATACATTTCTGATAACTAATATACCGAATACAAAAGAAAATATAATTTGTTTGAGCAAAATTGACATTTGAGATTTGATTGTTGTTTATACTCCTTGTCTCTACTCTTAAGGAAGAGTATTTTCTATCTTCTATTTGTTGATTCTTTAGTGTAGGGTTAAGCTTCTGAATGTAAAGTAAATCAAAAGTATGTGATTGTAAAATTTGAAAAAAAAAATAAGGGATTGAAGAGGAGGAAGAATGGGAAGGAGATAGGGAGGGTAGGATGGGGAGTATCATGCTTTTAAAGCTGTATTTATGAAATACATGAGATTTGTTCCCTTTATATAAGTCAAAAAGTATAAAAAGTTTTAAAAAGCCATAACATTTCAAATTCATTAAGAGGACATTTTTTTAAGATCTATGAGATTTTAAAAAAAGAATTTTTGATACAATATATGTTAGTTTTTAAGGGCTACCATAACAAAATGTCACAGACTGGGGCTTAAATGGTGAACATTTATTTTCTCATCATTCTGGAGCCTGGAAGTCAGTGATCAGGTGTCTTGGAAGCTGTTTTCCTAGGAAGCCTCTCTCCTTAGCCATCTTCTCTCCACACCCTCACATGCTGTGCCCTCACTGCACGTTGGACATTTTATCCCTACTCTGAATGCAGCCTCTCCCTCATCCAGTATAATTTACGTGTAGACGCCACAGTGAGCCCTCAAAACTCTGACCTGATCATTTCAGGGTCCCACTCACAGTCCTCCCCTGTGGCCTGAGGGATTTCACTGGCCGGCCTTCCCAGCACTATCCGTGGTGTCGCTTACTTCTCTGTCCTGGTCTCTTCCCGTGTCATGTGCAAGCAGCAAGCTGCCTTTCTGGATGGCTCGCTCTCTCCATAGCTTTTCCCGTGGGTTTTGGCCACATATTACTCCACTCTTTGCTTCAGTGTCCTTTCTTCAAAGAATGTCATTGACCTCCAACCCTGGCCTTCAGAAAAAGCTGGATGCTCTTGTTATAACTAACAACAGTTTCATGCGTTTGTTTTCAAACAAAATTCACACAATTGCAGTGAGTTTATTTAACTCCTGTATTTACCCACTAGATTGCATATTTCCTTAAATAAAGTTTCTTTCTTCATTGTTACATGGATGGGTGGGTGGTTGGTTGCAAGATTCCATGATTACTGTTCTTTGAAGTTTCTAAATAGCTAAACGCAATAATCTTTGAGAAATTTGACTTGTTTGAATTCTCAGTCATGTCCCAATACAGAAAGATCTCTGTACTCCAAATCATGTATTTTTCAATTTTAGAAGTGACAAATGGATTGAAAAGGAAAACAAAGTTTCAAGTCAAATCAATGATTTCTTATGCTTAAGAAATAAAGGAAATTTAAGTCTGCCTCTCTTCTATAAGAATCCAGAAAATTGACACTGAATGAATATTTCATTCTCCATATATCTTTTATTTTCAATTCTGAGGCGCAGAATTAACCTACTTTGATGGGTTAAGAAAGTGATTTTAACTATACCGTATGTAAGGAGGCCTTCCTAAATTCCTAATTCCTCACACGTTAACATTTGTTTTCATCTTTCCAAACAGTTATGGCCACCGCCTGAATTAACTTGATTATTTACAATGTAACCCTCTCAAAAGGGTTCCTCCTATTTAAATGTCATCTCCTCTCTTTTACTACTCAGCCTTTGTCATCTGGAACTCCAACTTTGAACCACAGAACATACAAAATAATTTCAATCACTGTTTTCTTAATTCTCCCAAGGATAGTGCATAGCAAGTGAGAGAAGTTACTGGACAGTGTGCAGATGTCTTTGGCTGATGGGTTTCAAAGTGTGGTTACCAGAACACCAGCTTCAACATTACCTGAGAACATGTTAGAAATGCAGGCTTTTCCACCCCTGACCTATTGAATCAGAGGTTTTGGTGAAGGGGGTGGCCATCAGTCTGTAGTCTGTACTCATCTGCTAACAAGCACCGTTTCAGATGCCAACTCTGTTCTCTGCCTTAGGGCTTTACAACTAGTTCCCAGGGTCATCCCAAGGTCTGTCACAACTTGGACTGCTGACCCCATTCTGAGGGGTCTCCTTCAGTATATCTGGGGTAGGACCCAGCGATTTGCATTTTTTTTTTTTTTTGACAGGCAGAGTGGATAGTGAGAGAGAGAGACAGAGAGAAAGGTCTTCCTTTGCCGTTGGTTCACCCTCCAATGGCTGCCGTGGCTGGTGCGCTGTGGCCGGTGCACCGCGCTGATCCGAAAGCAGGAGCCAGGTACTTATCCTGGTCTCCCATGGGGTGCAGGGCCCAAGTATTTGGGCCATCCTCCACTGCACTCCCTGGCCACAGCAGAGAGCTGGCCTGGAAGAGGGGCAACCGGGACAGAATCCGAGTCGCTAGGGGATGCTAACATTTGACCACTGTGTAACAGCTATCTGTGATTTTTCCAGATGGAGTTGATTTCTGTTGTTTCCTCTATCCAATTGTATCACTTTCTCAAAATGTACTAATCACAAGTACGTCTCTGTTTCTGTTTCCCCCTGGGTAGAGACTTTCCCTTATTCTTCATATCTGTTCAGCACCTATCATGCTGTCTGCCATAGAACTGGCCAGCTCAACATTTGCGGGTACTTTTTGTTTGCTTTTGACTCTATTAGTAAGCAAGGAGATGATATTTCATAATTATAAGCCAATTCTGAGATAGAAAGTCCTGAGAGACCAGGGAAAGCTAGAGTACCACCTGCTCAACTCATATTGCTTTACAAATTGTCTGATTTTCTCAAAGTTCACAGTGCCCTAGGCCTTAGAACTGTGTCTAAGTCATTGTCCTTATTGCATGAATTTATGACTATCTCAATTCACAAAACCTGAATAATTCCTTCTGCAGGATTCATTTTGAATATTACTATTGACCACTTCCAATGATCAGATCCAGTCTTTAAGTTCACCTACAAGAGATCTTAAACGTCTTTCGACTAGAAAGAAAAGCCTGCATTATTTTGCTTGCAAGCTATCCGTTAATCTCCTTTGGTAACCATCTTTTCAAAGTAGAAAGAGTTAAAACACTGAACTTCAAAGCATTAAAATGAATGCCAGTAGGGCACAGAGACAGCAACATTACCAGGTTTTCAAAGTCCCAGAAGCCCTAAATAGTGTCTGAAATTACATATATTTCATTTTGTATGTTTTTTTTTTCCTCTCTTGTATCTTAAAACAATTTGGTAAGACCCACCACCCTCCAGGCAGCATTTTATAGCCACGTCATAAACCTCTAAAAACCAGAAGTTTACAGTGGGAATAACTGCTCCTGCAGAGGTAACGGGTGCCAACAGGCTGCCTTGCCTACGAGGGCGAGGATCAGAGCATAAATCAGTCAGAGTCTGGAGGGGCAGGACTTTGTGTTCATGGGATCCATTTCCCATTCCCAGAAACCTGAGACCGTTTGTCCTGCAAACATCACGTTGACAGAGTGCTATGAGAGGCCAGTAAAGAATAACCCTGCTTGGAGAAAGGATGGGGGGTGAACATTCATAATTAATCCAGCTTCAACATCTGGGAACGTACAACGTCTTAAGAAGTACATTTACTGTCCCCTGGTGAGCCAAAGAGCGTGAGAGAGCCCTGAACACAGGGACCTTTGTATTTTGTAGTGTTTTCACCCCTCTTCAGCACTCTTAATTTCATTCTCATGGAACCTTGTTTGAATGACTTTTCCCATATGTTCAGCCTTGGGTTCCACCTCTCTCTCCTGGAAGAGTGAGTTTTTACATAAATCAATACAATTCTTC